CTTTTAAACGCAGACAACTGGATTTTCAGCTAACTTGTTTCCTTTGTGACAATTTGCGTATCTCCTTAGAAAAGATGGGCGGGGGGATTCAGCTCCAGCTGTCGGCTTTTTGCTCACAGCGGCTCGAAGGTGGGGAGGAGCGGTTGTGCCACCTTGAAACCACGTTCCAATAAGGCGGTGAGATGCCATAACGACCTTGGAGTCGCCACTAAATGGCAGTGAAATGATGCAGACAGACGATGCTGAGCTGAAACAATAGGAGAGTGGATGGCGGCATGAAATGCAGACAGAGATTTGTGATGTGAGATCCTTTGCACAACGGTGGGAAATGCCAATGCAGATTGGACCAATGCTATGAGATGTTGGTGGCTATTTGGAGAGCTGCTAGGAAACTCCCAGCCAGCATTGCTGAGGATTCCATGCCTCAGTTAGTGGCAGTGTGGTGAAGGGGGGTGGGGATGACGACCAGGGCTATTTTGGGGCAGGAACGCACAGGAACGGAGTTCCATCTGGCTTCAGAGTTGGCCACTCCCACTACAGCCAAAACCTCTGTGAATGCGTGGCTACAGAGGGAAGGTCTGGACTGGAGAGCGCCCCCCCCCCCGGTGACTCCGAGGTGGTTGGGCCAGGGGGGGGCCTGGAAGGATCGGGGAGGCATTTAAATGCCCCCCCGTGCCTTCCCCGGCCTGTCCAAGGGCCGGCTTTCCCGGGCTCCCCGTAGCAGCGGGGCACCTAGGCAAGCCAAGGGAAGGCACGGGGGTGTGGCCTAATATGCTAATGCACTGTGGTATCAGGGGTGTGGCCTAATATGCTAACTCGTCTCTGCTGCTGGGTGTAGCCTATTATGCTAATGAGTTCCTGCTGGGCTTTTTCTACAAAAAGAAGCCCTGATGACGACACGCAGGTTAAAAAATGTGAAAGGTAGGACCGAAGGCATCTAAAAGTGGAGGGAGGAGGAGGTAAAAAAGGGAAGGTAGGAGGGGAACAGAAAAAGTGGGGGAGAAAGGATAAAGTGGG